TCTCTCTCTCTATATATATATATATATATATATATATATATATATATATATATATATATATATATATTTATTTATTTATTTTTCGTATTTTTATTTTTTTTAAAGGTCTTTTTTTATTTGGGCTAGTTAAATTAATTTTCGGGTTACCAAAATTTGAAGAGTACCTGCCCGAATGGGCAACCACGGATTTGGACATTTTGCAAGCCCTGGAGCGTGTTGCTGTTCAGCTTCCTCACAGACACTTAACGTTAACATTAGATTGAGCGGCCATGTAAAGTTGCTACTACTTACATATTTCAGATGATAAGTCACATTTGTGGTGGATAAATGATAGGCGAGTGTTTGGATGTCCTGCTGTATTTACTGTATTACCATAGACCAGCCGTTAACAATCTGCTTGACTTCGCCAATGTGGATTTTTTTTTTCTGCGACTAAGCGACTAATCAAATTTTGGTCTTCTGGTCGACTAAAGATTAGTCGACTATTAGGGGGCAGCCCTACAATAACCGCAACATAAATACATATAATTTACATAATAAAATTTACCTAAAAATGTCAATAATTTTTCTATATATAAACAAAAAAATTGTTATTTGCATTTTGGAAAAATGTATTCTCATACTGTGACACCTCAAAAGCTGGATGGAAACCCAGTTAATGTGGTGTCCCTGCATGAAGAGGATTCAGAAGAGGAGTAAAAACAGTTCCAGCTGCTGCGTGTACGTTGCTTATAGTATTTTGGTCCTGCCTTCAATGTCCAATGTCCATCAGATAATTTTTTCTATTTCATCAAAAATAAATAAATAAAATAAAACAATTCTAAAAGCTTCAAAAACTAATAGCACAGCATTAATGAACGCTCTGAGAAATGTCCTCCCTGAATAATAGCTTGTGAAAATTCTATTTTCAGTCAGAATGACATTTGCAACAATTCTTCCTTTTATTGTCCAGTGTAAACGCACGTCTAGGGAAAATGCCTTGGCTCCAAATTTCCAGAAAGTTCCCAGTGTTTCACAGACTATGAGTGAAACAAGCGATTGTGTGATTGACACATACAGATGGACACTTGTGAGACAAACACAGCAGGTCCAGAGGCCGCTGACCAGGTTGGGTCTGCCACGGCATGAGGGGCTTGCTGGATGTCAAAGGAATAGCTGATCCAAAAAAGAAAATCTGTCATTATTTACACACCCTTATGGTTGTTTCAAACCCGTATGTTTCTATTTATTCTTATGACACATACAAACTACCAGCATATGGGTTTGGAACAACATCATGAGGGTGAGTAAAGAACACAATTTTCATTTTTGGAAGAACTATTGCTTCAAATTTGTATGCGAATTTGAGGCGGACACATAAGTGGTTCTGTTGTACTCACTTCCTGTTCCTCCAGGGAGCAGGGCACAAAAGCTTGCATACTCTGTTTAAAAGAATGCCAACCCTCTAGGGCAAATCACAGCGCAGGAAACTGAGAACAGACGAGCCGTTCTGAACATCTGAATCTATCTTTCATTTGAGAAAGTGAAGCAGTGAGTCATCTAAGCCACACTGAATCCCAAATGAACTCATAATACATCTGAATCAGATTATGCCACGTGGCACCACTGCAGATCAAACCCTCGAGACTGGAACGGTTTATACTGCGGACGGGCAGTCAAGCGCTCGTTTAGCACCAACTAGTTGATTAGCAAAAAGACAATTCAGATTACTTAGAAAATGATTTTCAAATTTATGATGGGAAGAGAATGTGAAGAGCTACGAGAAACAGAAGTTTAACCGTTTTTTTTTGTTATTTCTACATTGCATTTTTTAATTATTATTTTTAATTTAATAATTAAAAATATGAAAAAGATATAAAAAACTTTTTTCATAAAATGTTTCATTAAAACATCAAAATTTAAAAATTACATTTTTTTTTTTCAATTTAATTCTTCCCAATAGAAAAGCACAGGCTGTTATATTTACAGTACGAGTTAACTACACTGTTTTTCATCTAGGATATATATTATTAATATTTAAAACATTTTATATTAATTATTATAGTAAATATAAGCATTATCTACGGTACATATTTTTTATATTTTATTTTTCTACTATAATAAATAAAAGCAATGTTTTTACATATATAAATGCACATTTTCATTTTCATATAAATGCACATAAATTTTTTTTTTTTGTAAAATTACTTTTCGGCTTGTCGTTTTCAGCACATTCTGACTGTTTATGTGAACACATTTCTAGCATTATCTTCATATTTGATTAAACAAATGACTTGATTTTTATTATGCGTTTGAGTACTTAAGACTACAAAATAACTCAAAATGTCCATCAGTTGATGAGTGTCATTTATCAGAGGTTTGTTTGGTTAGCTGGTCTGGTTTGGTTTCTTACCTCTGCACTGCTCACTCGACCTTCCTGGAAAGAGCACTCGGCAACGTTATTAGTGCAGATGTGGCGATATTTACACCAGTTGCAGGGGAAAGGGCTGCTAACACACGACGAACACCTGCAGAGGAGAAAAACAAAACAGAGTTGCATGAGAGGTCTGTTCTGAGCACATAAAACAAGTCATCTGTGAACTCAGCCAAAGTTTTCACTGACTTTAGAGTTAAACCACAATGTAACTGACTATTATACCACAAAATCCACCCCAAAACTGGTTTTGTTTAATAGTCTTATTCCAAGTTTTGAAAGCATATTTTACATAGTACAAAGTAATTTAATTCAGTGTTTTTATGCAATCACAAACTGGCTTTGATGCAAAATAATATTTGATATGTATTTATAAATTATATACATTGCAAATAAATAATAAATAAAATATCAAAAATTAAATAATTATACATTTTATTATAAAATTTAGACAGACAGACAGACAGATAGAGATATAGACAGACAGACAGACAGATAATACATAATCCATGCATTTGTATGCTTTTTTCCCCCAGACGGTTTAATTGATTACAATAGAAATTATCTAGTTTTGTTTTGTGTCACTTTAACCTGATTGACTTTCCTGTCAGCATCTGAAAATAGCACTTTCTGGTTCAAAACCACCATCTTTTCAGTGCAGAACCAGATTTTCTTCATGGAAACTAACAAAACAGGGCCATATTTGGCAGTTGCTGTCAATGGAAACGGTACACACACAAAAAATTAAAATCCAGCAACCAAACCAGATATACACCCAGAAATACAATAAGTTGGAACTACGACTTGTTTGGTATCTTCAGCAGCGACCTAAACTCTCTGTCCTCAACTGAACCTCTGGCTCAAGTCATTCATTCCCTCAATTCTTCGAATACTTCACCTATAAATCACTTCATTGTCCTTGGGAACATCTTGAATGAGCCCCGGGTCAGACTTAAACTCTCATAGAGACTCTCTCGGCATGAATGAAGATGCCGCTGTGGAAATCTGAGCGGTCAATGTGTCACAAATCCGCTCTTTCACTTCAACACACACAATTAATCCTCGAGGGCCATTGAACACCCGACTCGTTCACACCGCTTCTCAATTAGTCAGTAACCCGACCCTGAAAAAGTCTTGTAGATGGCGGCCCTAATGACATTCCCAATTAAACAGTCACGTCCTGCCGAGAAACATAAGTAGGCGGCACCTGTGGACACGAACGCGTGTACCCAACGAAATGCCAATCGTGCCACGAGAGATGAAGCGCATGCTGTGAGAAGGTTTGCGGACACTTCTGGCAGGGCGATTTTTTCCATCTCATGCTGTCTCTCATCTACCACAGGTCCCATATGGAAAGCCCACGCAATATGCCATCCTAATCACATCCTTCCCTCTGGAGGCACGGTTCAGATCGCCTTCAGAGAGCACTCGACAGTCCGAGCACACCACACCTGGAGCTGCATTGCTCAGTATAATCTCGTTTCGCTCTCGGGAGGAAGAAAAGATCCTCTGCTCCCGTTTGAAACATCCCAGACGTTGGCACTGGCAAAATTACACCGACCGCTTTCTTGCACAACCATCTCTGGCGGAACAATTGAAAGCGTACGGATTATCATGGGTCATTTAAAACAAGTTAATGCATTTTCTTTGCAGTATGGGTGCGTTTGAACTTGCTAAATCTAATATTACTGCCGACAGGGGTTCGGCGTGGGTGTGTTTTTTAGCACGCTGGAAGGTAAAGATGCAAACTAGAGCTGATAGAGGAGGGCGCTGCGCTCCACTGCTGCTGAAATGCGTTGTAAATACTGCAAACCGATCTGAAAGTCTCGCCTGAAATATGCAAAATGCTGTGTCAGGGGTTTAAGGCCCATCAATTCACTCAGCTTTAATTTGAGCGTGGGCTGAAAAACACAGCACGGCCAAATGGTGACACTCTGATGAAGTGAGTGCTTTACCATCACTGGGAGTCTGGGCTGGACTTTCAGCGCAGGCAAATCTGGAGTTTGTGCACTATAGTTAAACTGAAATTAAAAATTGACCATATTTAAGTTCTTAATACAAGTTTCTGGCCACGATTCATCTGTGCATATCATTACAAAAGGTCACAACAAATTCTCTTGCTTTCTTTCTCTTTCTTTTTCTCTCTCTCTCTTTCTTTCTCTCTTTCTTTCTAGCAAAGAGTAATACAATAGTCTACCTCTAGAACGCCCTCTTTTCACAATCCAATCAATTCATAATGGATAAAATCAAGCCTTCAGTTATATTCAGTTGTAAGGTGGATGGATTATCTCGGCAAAGGAGAAGTGCTCACTAACACAGGTTTAGACAGATTTGTGAACAATATTTGAGAGAAATAGGCCTTTTGTGTACATAGAAAAAGTATTGGGGGGCAAAAACAAAAGTGTTGCGTTTATAATTTTGTTCAGTGTATATATAAATATTTATTCATGCAAAACATTATTTATTATCTTCTAGTTTTCAGCACATTCTGACTGATGCTTCCAAGACCAATATCTATCGTTCTATCTTTCCATCTATCTATTACATATATAAATTATATAATTTATATTTATCGATATATATTGTAATATCTGATCAAAATTGTTATTACATACATATATTATGTTTTGCTCATGACTGCATATTAAAATGATAGATTTATTATATAACAACATTTTGTCCTGACTGTTGCTTCTAAGACTATCACAAATCATTTTTGCAAATTCAACAAAACATTGCCAGATAACATTATCAGCAGAAACCGCAACAACACTGCAGAACAGAAAACCAAACAGAACAGACAATCAAACAAAATTTGCAAGGCAATACAAAAAAAATCAACAAATGTTCCTTATTGTTAAGCTCTACAACTACTCCTTGAAAACCTACCCAACTATTCATAAAAACGGTGAAAGAGGACACAGTCGTCCTTTGATATGCGCTTCCTGGTAACTTGAGGCCACGCATATCTAGGCTGAGCAATAAAACACAAAAGAGTTTCACATGTTTAATGAATGCCCACATTCACATCCAAAACTAACTAGCACCAGAAAGACACCCTCGCTAACAGCTGCATGGGAAGACGAAACAGAATAAAGAGCTTCGGCTTTATATAAGCCATTTCATAACTAAATATCCTGAAATGCACTACGGCTTCCTCCCCTGCCCCCTCTCTCACATCACAGGTGGTCGTTTTCCCGCAGGGAAAGAGGAGGTTAAGAGGGGGCTGGGGAGGGACCTTTGGGTCTGGGTGGCCAAAGAATTGTGAGAAATAAAGATGGAGGCAGGAGGACGAAGACGAGTGGGTGCCATCCACCGGCGTCACCAGAGGCGAAGACAATCGGCGGGCTAAACGTTCCCACAGGGCTTTTGTGAAAACAGGAAATCTGGCACAGGCTTTAGGACGTGCTGGCAAGGTAGCGGGCCTCACTCGGATGTGGGTTGCCATGGCAACTGCCGAGCCCGGCTCGATGGATCAGCACAGGCGCTTGTACTTGCACACACATTCACACATACAGAGAGCGGATTGCCGAGTGTAGCTTTGCGCATCTAATTTTCTACGTGTATATGCAGCACCAAGATGCAAACTGTCGTCACCACGTGGCGGCTCCCTCCAGTTGTCATATTTTATCCTCCTTTTGTTTTCCGCTTTCCTTCCTTTGATAAACTAATTCGCATTTCCCTCCCGTTTCCATGCAAATCACAACTGGAACGGCCGGAAAAACAAAGGAGGCGCTAACAATGCGTGATAGTGCTGGCTGACTGGGTTAAGTGATGTAAAGCACTCGAATGAAAGGAGGAGCGGCGGAGGGAAATAAACGAGGGGGTTCCTGTCCTCCGGGACGCACCGACACGTCTCCACCCTCTACATCGACTTCACGATGACTGAAGTGCAAATGAACATAAATATATAGAGTGCAGATCGCTCTCAGGCCAGAGTTTGGGCATGACTGCGAATCAACGTTGAACTGAGTTCCATTCATAATATTGACTGAACTTAACTGAATCAACATTGACAATATTGTCTTTTTAGAGCAATGTTACAGCTGAAGTTGTATTGGTTTCATATTTGAAAAACCTAGCACTGTAATTTTAATTTTTATTACTATGAAGCTGCATGCTTTTCAACAATCTGTATTGTATAAAGCGCTATATAAATAACCTGACTTGAGGCAGAAGCAGATGACCGTGTGAACGGAGCACAAAAATAACTCAAACCTCAAACGGAAATCATCTCAGCAGCCAACAGCTGGACCGCACTGCAATTACGCACCAGCGCTAACACCTCTGAAGCAATTACACTCATTTACTGACCACAGACAGAGCTGCAACTCACTCTTTTTTACTGCCAGTGGGAACTTATTGTGTGTTTCTAAGCAAAATTACGATTGCAGCAGAATGTTTGCTGGTTTCTGAGAAATTTACAGATGTTTTTGTTTTCAAATGAGGTTCTCAGAACAACTCAAACATCCAATTAAAAATAATTTTCCATATGGAATAATTTTCCTCTTGAATAAATTTTTTTTTGCAAAAGCTAAAATAAAAAAAACAAATATTGCATATTTGCACTAGATTAAAAAAAAAGAAGAAGAAAACTCCTTCTGACTACATTAAAATTATTCAGCCCAAAAATAAAAAAACTATCATAATTTACTGACCCTCAGGTTGTTCTAAACCTGAATGAATTTCTTTCAGCAAAAGAAGATATTTTGAAGAATGCGGATAACTAATTAGTTGACAGTAGCCATTGATTTCCATAGTATGGAAAAAAAACTACACAAGTCAATGTCTACATCAAATGTTTGTTTACCAGAATTCTTCAAAATATCTTCTTTTGTGTTCAGCAGAAGATAGAAACCCTTACAGGTTTCTAACAAGTGGAGGGTGAGTAAATCATGACAAAACTGTCATTTTTAGGTGAACTAGGTGAATCAATGATCGTGCTGTCAAACGATTAATCGCATCCCAAATAAAAGTTTTTGTTTGCATAGTATGTGTTCTGTGTATATTTATTATGTGTATATATATAATATATATATATAAACACACACATGCAGTATATATTTTGAAAATATTTACGTCTATATTTATATTCATATACTTTATATTATAAATAAATATATTTAATATATAAAAATAACATATATTTTTTAATATATACATGCATGTGTGTGTATTTATATATACATAATAAATATACACAGTACACATACATATCTTATGTAAACAAAAACTTTTATTTTGGATGCGATTAATCGCGATTAATCGTTTGACAGCACTAATCAATGATGAACTGACTTTAACTGGAAAAGTGTTTACTATCGTCCTCTTGCATTATCGACACACTATTTATCTGTTTAATACTGTAAAGCTGCTTTGACACAATCGGGGATCTTGGTAATGTCCCGACTTTTCGACAAAGGCAATAATTGTAAAAGTACTCATGCTATCCGAGTAGAGAAAAACATGTTTGTCAAGGTTACACTTCAACAATACATATCACATCAGTAAAAAAACTACGAAGAAAAAAGGCCGGTCCACTGCACATTCTATAATAAGCAAACAGGTGACGTCTCGATGGAAAAAGCCAACTTTTTTCCGACAGATGCTACGGGCAGAAGTCGTCATAGTTGGGTAAACTTCTATAGTGGTGAATGGAAACTACAACAAAAGCAAATGAAAATATTCACAATAGCATTTCTATAACTTCTCAAAAGATGAAACAAATATCTGTTGCATTAGAAACAATAATGCAGCAGCTATGACAAGTTTTCTAAAATGTAATGGCAAGGTAATATAACATAAAGAATAGTTTTATAAAAAATGATGCATATTCAGTCTGACTGATGAAAGATTGAAAATATGTTTCCACAAACTTCAAATGGACAAACAACCCTGAAAAACACGGCTTGTGGTAAACGGTTTGACCTTAAGACAGCACGAAATATTTGATTTTGCTCATACCAAATTAAACATGAAATAAACATGAGACGATTAAATGTAAAAACAAATTCAAATGAAATCTGCACACTGTAAAAAAAACTCTTAGAATAAAGTTTATCATGCTCAGTATTTGATCAAAAATACAACAAAACAGTAATAATGTAAAATATTTTTACAATTTAAAATAACCGTTTTCTATTTGAATGTTCAAGCAGCAAGCTGAATTTTCAGCATCATTACTTGAAAGTCACATGATCCTTCAGAAATCAGTCTAATATGCTCAGCATTTTAGCACAGTTCTGTAAGCATTAATGGAAAAAAAATATATTAAAAAAATCACCTAAAAATTTTAATTCTGTCGTTTTAAAGCTGTATTTTTTTTTTTGCAAGAAACACAAAAGACGAAGATTGAAGAATACGCTATAAATAAATAATAATCTACAAATTTATAATATAAATATTTTTTAACTCTGGTGTTATATAATGAGAAACTTACTTTGTGATTTATAATTTGTTTTAAATAATCTGATTTCGTTTCCAAATAAAGAGACAATAATAAAAAAATGATCCAGATTATCTGAAAATATTTTAGTACACTAAGTGCAAATAGCATATTTTCTTAGCGATAGATAATATTTA